AATATCAGATTGGCTATGTATAACGACCATTACAAATTGAAGATGCTCTCTATTGCTGAAACAAGGTTTCGCTCTACACTTGTGAAGATGAGAAGATTTAAGGAAGTAAAGGAATGTCTACAACAAATGGTGATTAGTCCAAACTGGTCTTTATATAAAGAGGATGATGTTGGCAAAGCAAGAGCAGTGAAGGAAATGATATTGGATGAATACTTTTGGGATGAGATTGATTATATATTTTCCTTTACAACTTCTATATATGAGATGATTAGGATGGCTGACATAGATAAACCTTTTCTTCACTTGATTTATGAGTAGTGGGATACCATAATACAGAAGGTGAAGGCAACTATCTATAGGATAGAGCACAAGCAACTACATGAACAAAGCAACTTCTTTGATGTGGTCTATCACATTTTAGTGGAGTGATGGACTAAGAGTAGACTAAGAGTAGCACACCACTCCATTGTTTGGCACATTCTTTAAATCCTAGGTAAGTATTATGTGCTTCTTTCCTTTTAAAGTATTTAAAATTTACTTTTCATATTGTGATGATTTTATAAAATAATATCACACTTTAGTTTTAGGTTTTATAGTCCAGAATGGCTATAAGAGGATCTTAGCCGTGTTGCTCCACACCAAGATGCTGAGATTACAAGGGAAAGAAAAAAGTGTCTTGAGAAATACTTTTTGGATGATTGGGCTAGAAGAGATATCATTGTGGAGTATGCCTCTTTTTCAATGTTCTTAGATGACTTTGGAGCTATTGATGCTATGAATGATAGGTTTCACATGGAACCAATGGTGTGGTGGATTGTTCATGGAGCTTCAACACCAACTCTCCAATCCATAGCTTTGAAGCTACTTGGATAATCTTGTTTCTCTTCGTGTTGTGAAAGAAATTGGAGTACATATAGTTTCATTCACTCTTTAAGAAGAAACAAGTTAACACCCCAAATAGCTGAAGATTTAGTATTTGTTCATAATAATCTTCGTCTTTTATCAAGGAAGAGCTCAAGCTACAAAGAAGGTGTTACTCAAGTGTGAGATGTTGGAGGAGATGGATTTGATAGCTTGGGTGAAGAAGGTGTTGGGATGCTTGAAATTACTAACCTTTCTCTTAATAAACCATCATTGGAGGTTGCTTTATTTATTTGGGAAGACATTACAAATATTGTAGTTGATTGAGACTTCTGTTTTTATTTTATTTTTCTAGAGTTTAAATTTGAAATTTGAAATTTTATGTTATTTAAAATATGTTTTAAATTATATATATTGTTATTATTATATTTTAATTATCGTATTCATGACATATCGTATCATAATTTTTGAAGATTTACCATATATTGTGTCATATCGTGTCGCCGTATTCACATCTAGAGGTGTCAAACGGGCCGTGCGGGCCGGCCCGTCCCATTTAAACTCGTGCTTTTAATATTTTCGTGCCGTGCCGGGCCGGGCGATTTAATTTATCGGGCCGTGCCGTGCCGGCCCATTTAATAAAATCATTAATCCCGGCCCGGCCCAAAGCCCATGTCCATATTTAAACGGGCCGGGCCGGGCTCGTGCCGTGCCCGTGCTCGTGCTCATGACGTGCCCGTGCTCGTGCTCGTGCCATACTCGGGCCCAAGAACCAACCCATTTAATTTGAATTTTTTTCGCTTGAATTTTTTTTTTCCACTAGATAATTCAAATTATAAACATTAAAAATATAATTAGAGGCAAGAAATTATAAACTATTTGAAAACATTAATCAATCAAACATCCAAACAATATGAAAGGCGGAGGGCAAAAAGTGTCCAACTCCACAAAGTCCACTTGAACTTTTCATCTTTAAACAACTTATTATTTTATATGTGAAGAAATGTTTTGCTTTGATTATAAGAGAAGCGTATATGTCATATGTATTGATTAGATATCAAGTCCAATGTTGTTTAATTAATTTGTAGTTGATATGTTTAATTAACTAAGGACCCGAGTAATCTATATATATAAAGCAAAAGGCAGAGAATGGTGAAACATTCAAAAACCCCAAATATGCCCTTTGTTAATGCAAACATTAAGAATTCAATTTATTAATTAAATAAGGATAATATGGTAAATTCACGCTTTTTCATATTTAAATAAAATTAAAATTAAAAGAAAAATCAGATAATAGATCCTATTTTTATGGAACACAACTACCCATTATCTTTTTTAATTCTAAAATAAATTTTAAAATTTTAAAAAAATGCCTTTCGCAAGCGCGGAAGCGCGTGCGGAGAGGCTAGTTTTCCTAAAATGAAAGACATCAAATATATGGATATGATTTTTTTTATAAAAAAAAAACATATAAACAATGACATTAGATGTCAAATTATTGCATTTTGACTTTTTGAGAAGAAAAAAAATGCTAAATGGACCGTGCTTGGGCTCGTGCCTGGGCTCGTGCCGTGCTTGAAGCGAGCTCGGGCCAAACCCGGCCCATATCGGGCCATGGCCCGGCCCGGTCCATTGGACCTATTTTTTGATCCCGGCCCGGCCCAAGTTTTCGTGCCGTGCCGAGCACGGCCCATTAGTATTCGTGCTCGTGCCGTGTCGTGCCTCATTTAAACGGGCTGGGCTCGTGCCGTGCTGGGCCGGCCCGTCCCATTTGACACCTCTATTCACATCCGTGTTTGTGCTTCATTTCATAGCTAGAAATACAGGTACCTCATCTGTCTAAGTACCCTACGATTATGGTAATTTTGTTTTGTTAAAGTCAATGAGTAATGTGAAAGTTGCATTTTACGTTATTGCCTGTAGACATGATTAATATGAAAGTTACATTTACATTATTGCCCTTTCCTGTTTTTCTTTTTCACCGTTGGCTGCGCTGCGTCCTACTTTCTACTGCTATTCACAGTCATGTTACACGTGGTGTAGTGTTTCAAGACAGCAAAAATGGGCTGCCACGTATTGCTCTAATTTCAAGTACCATTTTGACCCTTTATCATCCCAAGAACATTATTAAAGCTAAAAAAAGACGCTTTGCAGTAAACCCTGCCATCATTTTTTCTCGGAATCTGCTCATTTCCCTTTCTTCTATACCTAAAACTCGTTTGCATTTGGATCATTACGAGCTGTAGATTGACAAGGGATTGAAAACCTTCCCCGCATAATCACCTCAGCAAAGATTAATATTACGGGCATTAACTTTCAAAAGGAGTCCATTTTTGGCGTCTTCCTTTTTTGTGTGTTTTTATGTTGAAGTTGCAGATACAATAAGCATGTAAGGCTTTTTATTAGAGTGGTGATTTCCCCGCTCCAATTTTGTCCACTTACACTCTATTTTATAACTGAAAAAGGAGTGTAAGTGGTCAAAATGGGAGTGGGAAAATCATTACCCTTTTATTATCTTCCTATTCTTGATGAAACAAAGAAAATTTAATTTTGCTGTCGACAATGGAGAGATGGCTTGATTTGGGACCCAAATTGAAGTCCTAGGCGTTTCTAATCAAAACATCCAAGGATATGGACTATTAACCTATTTCATTATAGTAATATAATTAATTTTTTTTTGTAGTTTCTGTTTACAAGCCTAAAAATACAAATATAAGAGTAAAAAATTTACACATTGCGTTGTAGTTTCTATTTTATAAACCTTAAAATACCGATATTTATTAGTAAATGTTATATTCTATAATTCTAAAAATGCCAATATAAAAGTAATATAAAAATACACAATGCGTTGCAGTTTCTATTTTTTAAACCTAAAAAAATATCAATGCAAGAGCAATATAAAAATACAAACTGAGTTGCAATTTATATTCTATAAACCTAAAACATAGCAATATAAGAGTAACATAAAACTACAAATTGCGTTGCAGTTTCTATTAAATAAGCCTAAAAATACAAATATCATAATAATATAAAAATACAAAAGGCGTTGCAGTTTTTATTTTATGAATCTAAAAGTTACCAATATTAGAATAACGTAAAATAGAAGCTGGTTTGTAGCTTCTATTCATTGTATACTTTGTATTGCACATCATTAGTTTTATATATGCATATATATATATGTAAGAAAAGACTACAAACAAATACATTTTAAATGACATTTGAGCAAAGGAGGAGACTAGTAGAAGAAGAAGAAAAACAAAACCAGAGAAGGGAAGCGTGAGCTACAAAGAGATAAAGTTGCAAAGGAACCACTGACAGAGGAAAAAATTAAAATAAAAGGTACAAAATGAAAACCTAACCAACAAACTTGAATAATGAAAAATAAAATATTTAGAAAACGGAAGGGAGAGAATGGGAACACAAGGCCCAATATTTTTTACGCCTAGGGAAGATGGAATGGTTGGCCATGTGGGAAGAGAAATAAACTTAGGAATTGAATTCTATCTGTGAAGGATTCATGTGTTTATTTAATTCCTTGTAAGTAGAGCCCACAAAAAATTAGAAATTGAATTCCTGATTTTGGAGAAATTCTTAAGTGGGAGGTGATATTCTAATTTCTAAATAACTAACCCATTAGGAATTTATCGTTTTACTCATTATATCCTCACATAATTTTTAAAATTTCAAATTTGCCATCTATTTTAACCCAACAATGAGAACATTTTAGTAATTAGTACAACTCACACCCCAATTTTATATGATTTAGTAAACAACTTCAATATGAATTCGGAATCTAACTCTCCCGAATCCATATGGTTTAGTAAACAATTTCAATAGGAATTCGGACATCTAATTTTTCTCAATCCAACTCCTTCTCAATTTAATTCATCATCAATTCAATTCCTCCAAATCCAATTATAGATCAGTAAACATGCCATTAGAGTGACTTTAAATAAATTTATAAAATATAGAAATAATGACATTATGTGTAATTTTGAGATTTTTATATTATATTATTATAAAATTAGATGCTATATTTAAGTCATTGATGTTATTTAAATTAGGTGAAATTGAGTTACCATCTACCACAATAATAAACTTTCTATTGAGTGTAAACCAAAGCTCCTTTGTCTGGCTTATTTTGGCCCAGAGGGAAAGAAATATCAGAAATGGGCCGAACGACCTTCATGTCTTCCATTTGAAGCCCATAGCCCCAAGTCTTGTAACGTTTTCTTTCATTGGCATTGACAGCACAATTTCCCACAAATCCGCAATCCCCGATCTTATTCGTCACGTTTTCACTTCTTCTGTATAGCCTTGTTCCAACTTCCAACAATGCCTTCCTGAATCTGATGCTGAAGCTCTGTAATTACCATAATCACCATCATCATCCAAAATCAGAGAATGAAGCTTGTCTTTTCCATCCTATTCCTCTCTGTCAGTTTTTCTACTTTTCTTCCTCTTGCCATTGCCAGAGGCGGCCTTAATAACTCTAATCCTCCAGGTTGCTCATCTCTTCGTCTGTCTAAGTGTCTTACATATATATATTATACATGTTCTTGTATGTATGTATGTCTGTACGAGCATGTGCGTGCTTTTTTCTTTCTGGGTTTTTCTTTGGAAGTTGAGAAACTAAAGTCTGAACTCAAACTAAGGCTACAGCTTAGATTCTGTGTTTTGGAATTTTTTGCATTGATTTACCAGGAACCAAACGGTAGTTAATCTACATATTATGATCAGATTAGATTATCATGCCAATTGTTTTCATAAATTTTACAGTTTTTGGTGAATTAGAGCTACGAATAAGTAAATAACCTTTAGCTATACGCTTTAAAGTTTAGCTAATTGTAAGTTGTATGTTGATAGGCCTCGAATATGGTCCTGGCACTGGTTCCGGAAGGCACTTGTTTGAGGATGACGAATCTGAGACACGGTAATTTTTTTTTTTTATACTAAAGTTGAATTTTAGTAGCTACAGATGAATTATGTGATGTGTTTTCTGAAAATGTGAATTTTTTTTTTGTCAGTGTGGATGTAGCTCAAGGCTACATGACCAATACTGAGCTGGAACGGGCCATTAAGGCATTCGGCCAAAGATGCAGTAACATTTCTAGGGTGTACAGGTGATTACTTGGACGTGTGCTCTTTTCTTGAACATGTACTGGATTAAAGTTTTACCACCTGTCGGTATATACAAATTAATAATTGATATTTCTGAGTAGTAGTTTAGTTGGATAATGCTGAATTTGAATTTAGTATTTGTGCTGCTGTTTAGGCATCTTATGATGATTATGCTTACTTATTCTTTTTATTCTCTCATTGAGGGATTTTTCGATTGGATTATCAGTATCGGGGAGAGTGTGAATGGGGTTCCTCTGGTAATTATTTAACTGGAGTTCCATTTTTGTTTTTGGTTGTCTTATTTTCATTTGTTAAAATAATCTCTTGACTCACATCTTATAAAGTGGGTGTTGTTTGATTTGTTATTGCTTGTAGTGGGTAATAGAAATTTCTGATAAGCCTGGGGAGGAAGAGCCTGAACCTGCATTTAAGGTGAATGATCTGTTATTTACAAAAACTTAAACAAAATATTTGTTTTTTAATATTAATTTTATTGAGATTATGTCTAAGCTGTTATTTGGTGAAAAATTCTAAACCTCCTATCCTAAATTTCTAATGTGTCCTATATACAATCAATCTTTTGAACATGGCAGGATTTCTGATTGAAAATGCATTGGTCTCACCACCTTCCTCTCCAAAAATGATAATGTAGAAATTGTATTTGCTTAAGGTAGGAAAAAAAAAAAAAAAAAGATTCACAAAGCAGGAAACTGCTTTGGTTCTGTCAGGATTAGCAAAAATTTGTTCTTGCAGCTGGTTGGAACTATATTTAACCATAGAGCTGTGTAATGAGATGTAGACACCAGTATCTGGAATCTTTCGACAACTATAACTGTCAATAGTGGTCAGCAACTTAAGTAATAGGAAGTTTGCCATTGGTAGCATATCACTGGAAGTTAAAAATGAGTTAGCGTATCATGTCTCTAGCTTATTGGACCTTTAGATGTAGAAAAGGTTAGATACCTATTCACCACCAAATTTAGTTGATTCTGGTATTACAGAATGTCCATCTATCTCTTTTTAAAAAGTTTTACTCATTTCACTAGTTCAAGTTATATTAGCTGCCCCTGAGCAGAGACTTCCTGCGTTTTATAGCTGTTTGGAAGGCAGTTCCAGTCATAATCCTTTTCTTACCCTTTTCTTTTCTGGTGAAGGAATAAAGGAAATAGTGATGAGCCATTTAGAGCCACAAGAAACTTATGATGAATATGAGATGCTGTAATATGACAATGATAATGCCAAAAATTCACAACTTTATATTCCGCTGCTGTTCAACTGGAGAAATTTTTTTGCCCTCTTCTTCTTCCTTACGGTTCATTGTTTCTGAAATCTATGCGATACTAATTAATTATTAGTATATTGGACTCTTGATTAGCCCATTCTCCATCGACCATATTTGTGCTTTTATTTCTTTCAACTCTTGCATCCTGACCTTTATTAGTATGCTGTTAATTGTTTTGGATGATTTTCCCACAATTATGTGATCACTTTTTATTTTTCCCAAAATAATTTGTGATGTTCAATATGAAGTTGGTATTAGCTATTATCCAATAATCTCCTTTCCCCACCAAGAGTGTGGAGCATTTGCAAACTGAAATCATGAATCTCACTTTTTGTATACAAATTTATGGTCCAACTGGTTTTCAGTTTTTGAATGTTTGCATACAGTGACCTTGTTGTATCTTTGTATTTGGTGCACTACTTGAAAGCCCTTTCCTATATACCTCTTCACTCCCCAGAATGAAACTCACTTGTTCTGTTTTCCTGAATCCATTAATACTACTTTGAGCATTTGTTCATGAATTGCTGGGTGTTGCAGTACATTGGAAATGTGCATGGAGATGAACCTGTAGGTCGTGAGCTTCTAATGCTACTAGCAAATTGGATATGTGACAACTATTTGAAAGATCCCTTGGTATTTTTCTTTCCTTTTAAGTTGACTTGATCCTTAAATGTTTTCCTTTTTTCCTCCCTTTAAATGATTTTGGTCTATTTTGTAGAACTTGGCATGTCTTGAGATATCTGAACTGTATATCAAAATATTTCTAAACTACTCCTGGTGGTTTCTATGTTCTTCTTTTCGTGGATGTTTGTGCTCGTGAATTTTTTACACTTCAATTGTGATTAGGGGTTTTTAGTGGACTATAGGAAATGAAAACAGGAATGATCCCCAGAAATGTGTTTTGGAACTCATAACATTGGAGTTTTATTTGTTAACCCCTAGACCCATCATTTAATTATTGGGTTATTGAAGTTCTACAATCCTTTTTCGTTTTCTTTTCTATTTACTTTATTTAAAGACACTCCTCAAAGTTCTCACTTAGTGTGCTCAAGAACTTCTGAACCCTTGTTTTCTCAAAGTTGTCACAATAAATAGTTGATTTTTTTCCCTGTATGTATATATATATATTAATGAATGCATGTTTTCCGTAATACAAAAGAAAAATAATAGTCCAGCCAAATAAGATTACATCGTAATAGGGTAGAAGAAAGAAATCCTTGCATCCATCTCTTCCTCTGACCATCTGTATTAACTTTGAATCTTTTATCCTGCCTAACATAAACTTGTGCTTTGGTTTGATAAAACTAATGTAATTTCTGATAACTTGTGCTTTGTATCTTTTAAAGTTAGCACTTCTCTTTTCATATGACAAGTTGTATTAGTTCTGCATGGTTGTATTATTTACCACATTTAACCTTCTCACAAATGTCTATTGGTCACTACAGGCAACATCGATTGTTGACGGTGTGCATCTTCATATACTGCCGTCTATGAATCCCGATGGGTTTTTATTAAGGAGGCGTGGTAATGCAAATAATATTGATCTTAATCGAGATTTTCCAGACCAGGTATATTTTTGGTGACATGATCCAATTGAACCATCATCGATAGGAAGAGTCAATGACTTGTGGCCCAAAAGAAAATCAATGGCAAATAAAATATAGTTAGACCCAGTAACCATGTGCTAAAGGCCTTTTGTTTTCCCAACCCATGTGACTTTTCTTTTTAATTCGTTAGCTTTGTCAACTAATTAGCCTAATTAGCCTTGACTTCAAAGAACAGTAGACTGAGCAGACTAATAGACTTCGAATTCTGATGAAAGCTTCGGGCTAGGCTTTGTAACTTACAACTAATTAAATGCGGCACATGAACAATATATATAACCCTTACTAACCAAGAGGGGTTAGTGGAATTGGTCAGGCCCATGGTTTGCTCCCATTTGGTCTGGGGTTCGAAACCCCCATAGATACCTGCCTAGCTATTTGCTATTGTTTCCTGCCTCCGAAAGATTGAAGGGTTCGGCAAGGGGCCCCAATTTCAAATCTGATCTGCAAAGTGGATTGGGGGCGATTTCTGGTTAGAAAAAAAAAATATTATAAAATTTATTTAAAGCTGTTCCTTACAAAAGAAATAGGATTGATATAGATCAAATTTAGAATATGTATTTTTATTATGAAAGTATAGGTCATTTGCGTAAATTGTTTTGACTATATACTTAGCATGCATACAATATTTTATGCAATTTAGACGCCTAATTTATGCATTATGGGTTTTTATAACATTTCTTAAAGCTTCATTCAAAATCTTCATGTTTAAAAAGCAAAATTTTGTCAAATTTTATTTTTCACCGATATTTCTGTAAATTTGAACTACTGACGTATCTACTGATATCAATATTGTAACAAAGATTGAAATCTTAATTGTTAAGAGAAATACTCAAATTTGGTAATAAATATACACCATATGAATTTGATGAATATCTCGGTCAAATAAATGCTTGGAGAATTGGTTGTAATTTTATTAAATTCTACTTAATTTAGTTGAAAAGGTTTCAAACCTCGTGATCAAAATTCAGTGTAGATCCCAAAATTCAACACGCTATGTAATGGGATATCTGAGCATCATTAGTTTGGTATTTGTTTAAATTATAGTTTTACTTATCATTAATAAATTACATTGGTCACTTTTTAACAAGAGACATTGACATGAATTACAGTTCTTTCCGTTTAATGATTATGTGAATGGGCGACAACCTGAAACAAGAGCAATAATGAAGTGGTTGAGAGAGATACAATTTACTGCATCTGCCAGCTTGCATGGGGTAATACATCTTCTCATATTTCCTGCTATGATCATTACTTTCAGTGTAGTGCATAAACATACCCATGCCACTTGATATCATACCTTTACTTAGGTTGTTTTAGCAATCAATGTGAACTTGCAGAAAGAATCATTTAGAATTCTTTGCTATAACGGAGATCTGCATGTTGGAAAGATACTTTTTGTTTTTGTCAAACTTATGGACAAGTCTCTTCTGAGATAAGGAAATGCATTTGCATATACGATACAAGCTACAACATATAGTCTTTACCAAGCTAAAAGTAACTGCATTAGTGCATGCTACCCATGAGGTCCTTGTTTCAAATTTGGTTACTAAAAAGACTTCTAGGAAAGAAGGATGTTCAATCGTTCTGTAAGATTACATTATATAATGTAGCTCCTTAGCTTTCATCCACGTCCAATTTATTTATTTATTGAGTTTATTTTCTTCACTCATTCAAATAGATCCATCCAAAACATGCATACTGTTGATAGGGTTTAATTCCAACATTCTATTCTCTGTCTTAGGTAATGAATTCTTTGATCAAGAGGTGAATAAATTAGTCGTTACTAATTATATTGTTACTCACAGGGTGCACTTGTTGCAAATTATCCATGGGATGGCACTCAGGATAAAAGGTACTAATTTTACATTCATAACAATTCTCCGTTGCACCCTGCTGATTGATGACTTGATAGTGCACCCTTACTTTCTTGATTTCCTCTTGTATATTTCCCGTTCTTTTGTCTTTATAAGCTGGAAATCCTGTCTTCTCCGTGGAAAATAACCTGCCAACCTTTAGCTCTCTTGGAACATCTTTGACAGGAAAAGAGAAGAAAGAAAAAAGGATTTGTTTGTCGAACATCTGTGTATTGACTAGTTATTAGTGCTAAACTTGTGATGTGGGTTTCTCATTGTAACGTGTGTTTGAAGTATGCCTTTCTATTAGGCTTGTTTTTGCTGTATTTTGGCCTCAGTGTTGGTTTTGATCATAATTCAATTTGCATATGATGCCAAAGATACTCACCACACTCAAGTCCTTAAAACTGAATGGTTTTGTGTTTTTAGGGCCCATTCGTTAATATTTTGGAACCTTGTATCTGTTTTTTTAGATAAAAAACAACCACAAAATGCGTTCAGCCAGTAGCTTCTGAAAACACGGAGAATGGAATTGTGGAAATATTTTTAAATTTGTGCTTTGAGTTAGAAAACAACAAAATTTTCTTTTCATCAATTACAAGGTAAAATTGAAAACACGCAAAACGGGGAAAATCAAAGGCTTTGAAGAAGAAAAACATGGGACCCCTGGTGCCTTCTTTCTATGTGGGTATTCAGTTTCTTTTTTTTAGTTTCCACTATTTGTCTCTCTAAATGATTTTCTTTACATTTCACTCTAAAAACCTATCTTCTTCATTTTTCGGTGGGATAAAAATTGCTCTTCATTGTTAATTTATTGGGTCAACCCAACCCGAATGAGAAGTAGAGGATCAGTGAAACAGCAGGCTGCTCCACTTTGTCCATTTGCTGAGGCAGGGGCTCGTCCAACCAAGAAAAATTTATACCATTAAAATTATAATGTTACTGATGATACTTGATCTGAGTAATTATTTTTGTGGAAGAATATGTCTGACAAGTTTAACAAGCCTAATGGAAATATGTTATTATTTGACTTATGATAATATTTAAACAAAATAGTTTAAACACATATTCACTGTTTTGTCCTTTTTCACACCTTAGCACCAGACACATTTTCACTGTTTTTGTTCTCAGAAACTGTTTTCAAATTAAGCCAGACGCATTCTCGGATCTTGAAACTACAAATTTGTTTTCTCATTTTCATTTTGTGAAAATGTCTCACAGAAATGGATGTCAATAGTAGGTCTTAGAGCGTCACTATTTGAAGATTGCCGATTACATCTAATATAATTTATGAATTTTCAAATGATGCCTAACAATATTTGTATGTTATAATAGCACTATCCCAGAATACATGCTGAAGCTTCTTTTCATTTTATAGTTTTTCTTCTGCACATGTTCGTCTTTTGATCCAAATTAATTTGCAGGAAAAATTACTTTGCATGTCCCGATGACGAAACATTTCGGTTCTTGGCAAGTGTCTATAGTGGCTCTCACCATAACATGTCCTTGAGCAAGGAATTTGAAGGAGGGATTACAAATGGAGCTTCCTGGTATGACAGCTTGAAACATTACGACTTACCATAGATATATTTTCTTTTCTTTTGATGTTCATCAATTGTTTCTTAAGACACCTGTTGCAGGTATCCTATATATGGAGGCATGCAAGACTGGAACTACATACATGCGGGCTGTTTCGAATTGACATTAGAGATTAGTGACAACAAATGGCCTATTGCTAATGAGGTCAGGCATCAGCTTGTGTGATTTTTTGCAACCTTGATATATAATACCATCTTCTTTAGGCATTTTAGCATGATTTAAGAGACTGTTACACCGTTTGTGTAGCCCATAGGTCTAATGGGTCTTAGCGGGGCGGGGGCAGAATTTTGAATGGTGCTGTCAGTTCCCTTTTAAATACTGAAACGATAGGTTTCCTTTGTGGTAGAAGTGGAAATTAAGTATTAACAAAATCTTTTGACCTTGTTCATGCTACATTTACAATGGAATGGAAATCTGTAAGTATTCATTTAGCCAGAAAGGCTCTTCCTTCAAACTTTATCTCAGATCACTTGAATGGGAACCCTTTCTTTTTATGTATTGGCCTTTTATCCTTCAGGTTCAAAATTGTAGGCACGAAATGTCATGACGTAGTCACTTCAAACTGATAACATTGTGTCTTACATTAATGGAGATCCAACAATCTTGTCAGTGTGGCTTTACATTGTCAGAGAGTTAATGGACTTACATCACTCCCTTCAAAACAGGAGGGGCTCTAATTTCAAGGTCCAAATTCTCATCACATTGAAGGTTTTTAGGTGGGGATTCCTGCCTTCCAAGTATACACTATTGTGTGTTTAAAGAGAAGCTTCACTCAACACTATTTTATTTTAAAAGGAAACAAATTTTATTGCAATAGACAACAAAATACAGAGATGATCAAGGTGGCCACAAAAAAACAGAAACAAAGAAAGAGTAACTAGACTGAACAAAACCCTAAGCTACTAGGAAAAGAACCCCAGTAGCGCACACACAACCTGTAGCTAGGAAATGGCTGCATTCCAATCCAGCCAAATAACCCTAAAGGACATATCTCTAAAGACTGATGAAGTCGAGGTCCATAGTGAAGAACATAGTCTTACTTTCTTCCATAATTCCTCTGTTTTGCAACCTGCTTGGTCCTCAAAATTAATCTGTTTTGTTCTAACCAAACCACCCAAAGAACAGCCAATACACTACAACCCCGTAAAACATTGGCTTTCTTCCCATTCCCGGGAATTCTGTGCTTCTTGGAGAAGAAAGACTTTTCAGTGTCTCCTTTCTAAGCTTCTTAGGAAAAATACTCTACTGGAGTGTATCTGTGTGCATGTTAGGCTGCAAATTGATTGTTGTGCCCTTTCTTTTATTGGTTTAACAACTTCGGGTAATTGGTATCCTAACGTGGCTTATAATTGTCTTTCTAATCCTCGATTGAAGTCTTGATATTATTCTAATATCATGTTATGTTTCTTTTTTGATGTTGGTGTAGTTATTGACTATACGCCAGGAGGAATGTAGGTTAATCCTCATGTTCCTTGTTTCTTATTAGCTTCAGCTTTTTAGACAGTAGGTTTTATTGTGTCCTGGCTTGTTTTACATTCTCCAGTTGATTTGTTATATAGGAATATGTTAGTTTTATATCCATTTAGTTAGGAAGTCTCATGGACCTTTGTTTCCATCCTGTCCTATGTTGGAGGCAGGTCTTGAGTCTTTAATTGGCACCAGTGATTTTTGCCTTTCACATAGACAATTAGTTCCCCTTCTTTTGAACTTGCTATCATTTTTCTGTTTGATGTGCTGTCCTTAATGCATGTATCATGTGCAGCTTCTCACTCTTTGGGAATACAACAAAATGAGCATGCTTAATCTTGTTGCAAGCCTAATCAAGGTATATTATGGTTGGCTATTAACATGTTCTTACATGGTCCTCAACTGGAACTAAATTTAATTTCGTTTAGCTTGCAATCTGTGGATTATGTTCATGGTGCTTCACACATTGTCTTAATCACAAGTGTGCTCCATTTTCTCTAAAGTATTTTCCTAAATAATTTACCCTGGTGAAACATTTGAGAATAATAGTGAAAATTCTCATGAAGCCATTTCGGATTTGTCGAAGTTGAATTTTAAATGGGTGCGATATTGTTTAACTACACTCAACTTGTACTCTTCAGACAGGAGTACATGGAAGAATCTTTTCATCAGATGGTGGGAGGCCGTTGCCAGGCTTTATTGTAATCAAGGGAATAAATTACACGGTATGCTCACAAACATTCATTTATTCTTCAAATTTAAGTATACCTTTTTCCTATTGTGATTGCACAATAAGGGCTCATTTTGAGATGGTTCAAAACCCATACTTGGCTCGGTGGCCTAAAGTTCTGTTGGGCTATTACAATTATATTGGAGTTCCAGAATAATGTGAGATAAATCTCATGTAGAAACATGTGCTGGGCTATTATAGTGAAGTTCAATAATAGTCCAATCCCAAATTGCACCAAACACAGGATGTAATTCAGTCCAATCTAAATCCCGTCCAATAAAATTAAAATATGAAGTGATCGAGAAACATTTAAGCAGTGAAGCATTTCAAGTTACAATGATTTAGGTAGAAGCATTGAAGCTTATTTTGGACCCTACTATAGTTCTAAAATATATAAATAGTTAGACAGATGATGCTAATCTACTTAGGGCATTGATTCCCAAGTTCTGATGTACCAAAACTCTAATGATCTAACATATAAAAAAGCGTAAATTGGAGCATTAGTCCCTAAACTTGGACTCTAGCTTCAATTTGGTCGTCAACTATAATTCTTTGATCCATTAGTCCTTGAAAATTTTAAAATAGATACCAATAGTCGTAGACGTTTACTTCATTAGGATTTCTGTTAGTTTATTGATGTGGCAAGCATGTGTGATCCATAAGACTATATTCACGGGTGAAGACGGTGAGGAAATTCCACTAATAACCAAAAGGAGAATTACAAAAGAGTGTTTAACTCTCACAAATCAAAATCCCAATACACCCAAAGCACTCTCTCACAAAAGAGTAACGAAAAAAATCCTAAACCAAATAAGAGAAAATCGTCCAAACTCTTCATGGTTTGCTATCCCACTCTCAACATACAACCACAGAGAAGCCTATGTGCCTATTATATACTACTCATGACTTAGCCAAATGGGATCAGAAACCAAAAAGGAATCCTTGTCGGACAAGAAATGAAAAACAAAGCCACAAAGAGTAAATAATAATCTTAATGTGCAATTGGGACCAAAAAGGCGAAGTAGTTGGCTTCAAGTTTAAGCCACTTAACGACAAATTTCCACCTTGGCTTACATTTTACTTGAGCCTTCAAAGTGGAAACGTCCTTCCTTCATCTTCTCCAAATCCCTTACGCGCAACACACAAGTTGCAAATATCAATCAAGTCCAAGCAATGCTTGAACTTGCAAACAGGAACTGGCTTGATCAAAACAAAAATGATTTTGATGAAGAAACTGAAAATCTTCTATATCACCAACAAAACCAAGCATATCCTGACAAAGCTGAATAAAGGCACCAAGCACTTGAATCTCAAGCTCCACCTGCACACAAACACCATGGTCTAAACTTGCACCAACCGTCCAAAAGACAACCAAATAACAGGAACTAAAAAATTTAGCCCAAAAGTCCATAGACAAACCGAAGTTAGAAAGCATACAAAGTGTCTTCTCCAAGAGGGTTCTGCATACATGTTCTGCAATGTCATGTGGTGTCTCCATAATAGTGTGGTGTCTCACTATTCCAACTTCACAAAACCTCTTATATTGGCGTTCACTAAATACACCCCTAACAAAAAACCATACTGACGGAGAACAAATTGATGCAACAATATGAATTGTGTTGCCCACATCCAAATTTGTCAAATAGACAACAAATTGATAGTTGCATGCTTATATGCAGTGCCAATGCCTCCTTTGACTTGTTATACCTTTTGATTAAATCAGAGTTTATTACACCTTTTTGGTCAGTCTGTTGAACTTTTTGACATTACATGATAAACTTAAGTGGACTACATGTAAACCAATGACCCATGTATTTTGACTGACAGGTTCAAGCTAGCAGAGGAATTGCGGATTACCATCGCTTGCTTGCCTCTGGTGGCAGATACGAAGGTATTTACATATTACATGGTTTGTTCATACTGAGCTTGCTGCTTTAAAAAAGAACAAGAGGAAATATGATTACAACGTAAGATGTAAAGCTACTAGTGTCATTTTATGGACCACACTTATTTAGTTGTACAGCTGATACAATTTTCACATGTGCCATCTGGTAATCGTTATTTGGTGGGCAAAAAATTAATATTTGTCATGGCATTCAACATCAAATATTTTCTCCTTCCAAAGAATGCCTAGCGATTTTAGTGAATTGCTTGTGCCTCATTATTGGGGTATGAAATGAGAGGATGTGGTGTGGATGTTTTTACCTTGAATCTGTAATTTCTTTTTTCTGGGTGTAATTGCGGCTACAGCTCTCTTTGGTAAGAGAACTTATTTTCTTACAAAGAAGGGGGATCATAGAAGGAATTTTCTGCGCTAATAAGTAAAGGCCAAGAGCTATTTGACCAATTGACACATGAGGACTATAAGTACTTTTGGAAACAAGTTTTTATGGATGTATGCGTGTAATTGTAATTCTATTATGGTTGCCCATCTTAAGATGGCTATTTGATGCCCGATTTTTCTTTTGGTTTTACTGGCTGCATGCAGTCACAGCTACTGCCCCTGGGTACAAATCAAAGACAACAGGTATCTGGTTGGACAAAGCAGGCACAAATGTAGATTTTGTTCTCGACCCTAATGTCAATCGCAGAGGAATTCCACTTCGAAGCGCATGTGAATGCAGATGGGGCACTAGGAGTGTCATTTGGGATACCCATTTGGAAGTATACTTGCTTTTGATTGTTATTGTAGGATTCCTTTTGTTTTTATGCAAGAGGAGGACATACAGCCGATTAAAACAGAGGCAGTTGGCAGGACCAAAAAGGCCAGTTGTGGTTTGAGGATTGATTTTCTACTTGTATGGATGCCCTTTATTTTTGGGAGTCAGAAGGAAGCTTCATTCATTAAGAAGAAAGAAACCGGACGATCATAAAAAGACTAACAAAGAAAAGCATACCTTTGCAAACTCAACGCAGCAAATTTGCAACTTTGCAACGGCAGTTCTTAAAGCACCTCATTTTTGTACATAAGCATGAGGCAAGGTCCAGCTTCTATTACTTGTGTAGATGATAGTTGTGTATTATTTGGATGTATTTTCCATTAGGAAGACTAGAAACTCTCATTGTACTTATTGTATCTCAAGGTTCTTGGTTATTATCCATACATATCCTGTTAGCAATATTTGACCTTTACATGGAGGTCTTGCTCATGATCTTGGAATAATTTTGTGTTTTTTTTTGGGGTTTTTGTTTTCTATTGTGGACTGACATGATCTTGGATCTTATTTTTTGTTTAATAAGATGCCCTGTTTTGTAAATGTTATTTCTCAAATTTGTTGCACATTTTTAGAGAGGTTGCACCAACATATGTTCTTAGACTTTGTATTTTCCTTTTATCTAGTTCACATTGGATTTTGATGAAGTTGAGTGGAGTTGGATCCCTCGTAAGAAGAATCAAGCAGCTCATGTAGCAGCGTTGATAGGAGTTGGGACGGTGTATAGGGAGACCTGGGCTGCACAGCCACCACCATCCCCTGTTCGTGTGCTGGTTTCAGATGACTTCCCAGCCCACCAAATTTTTAGTCTCTCATGTAGTCGTGAAAGTTTATGCACTATGCTGTCTTTCGGCTAGTGTCTCTTTCTTCGCTCTTTTCTGTATGGGCGTTGGCTGCCCTTTTGGTCTCTTTGTTGGCCTTTAATGAAGTATTTTCAGAGCAAAAAAATGAGTGATCTCTCTAAGTGATTCATTTCATATGCTGTACTGAAATAATTAGTGTATTCTATATATGAAACACAATTTACATGGCCATGTGTATCACTAGACTGATGGAAAATCACATAAAAATCTCAGTATGTAAAATTAGATACTAAATATAATGATTCGCACTCTATAATATCTGATTGATGCATAAGATTGTAGAACTTCGAATTGATATTGAACACCATCATGTAATTTTAGATTCAAACTTACGCTTTCTTCAAACACTGGGAAAAGAAATACTACTATACTAAAAAGTTAATTATTTTGAACATGGGGATACAATGAAGCACTAGTAGCGCTCCCGTATTTTCAAAATATTCATGTGTACATGCATAGGCCTACTCGAAAAGAGTGGATAATTGGCGTATAGTAAACAGGGGATCAAATCATTTGCATAGTCTTGAGGCTGAGCCTGTACCTAACTTTCCAAGATTAATTGGTAGAGCTACTACCTCTTCGCGCATAAACATTTGCTTCTTCTTGGAGCACTTGCATAGCAATCTTCATCCTCTTCCCTCTCATACTTCACCCACTAATAAACAGCCTGCCACAAGAACCAAAGCAATGCCTGCCTCTTCAAAGGGGTAAGGTGTGGGGTGAACAAAAATTCCCATTCAAGAAATAATGGCAAGATGACAAAACGAGATGACCTATATGTTTGATCATAATTGAATAAAGATAAGAAAAGATAGACAAAAGTGAGGGAATCCAATAAAGTGATATAAAGATAGATGGACAATGATTCAGAACATACAAGACAATAGGAGATGGGTAATGGTTTAGAAAATAATTGAAGAAGACAAGTAAAGATGGGTAAGGGTTCATAAAATAATTGAAGGAGGATAAATGAATCCTATGAAGAATGTCCTATTGTGAAGAACGTGTCATGTCCTATTGTGTACAAGTGCAACCTCCTAGTCTGTTCAACCGTGCGAAGAATGTCTATTGGAGAAACTCCTTGCTTATTGGGAGGAGAACCAACTATTAGAGGCCTTGTGAAACTGATTGAGTTCGGGAAATACATTAATAGTTGTATTTTGGAACTTGGAAATTTAGGTTTAGTCCCATTATAGTTGGAGATAGCCTAAGGAAGCATGAGTAGCGCTTCTCTACTTTTAGATTTTTATTATTTATTTTCTGTAGTAGTTCTAATCACGTATATATTGTCCCTACTTGAAGAGAAGTGTGAATATAATTGGCTTCGAGTAAACATGTGGCTAATTTGTCTTCAAATCGTGGACAAAATAGCTTTGCCGATGACTTTCTTCCAAGACTAAACACAAATTACAATTAAACTGGTGCACCCAAACGGATCCTTATGACAAAGTTATGAATTGTAAATTGTAATCAAACAATAAGAGATGAATCTTATGATAAATGTATGGCTAGAAAACAGAGTGCTGGGACACAGTGACAGTCTTACACAAAAGTTTATATGTAGTTTGGAAGTTAAAATACCTTCCTAAAATTAAAAGGGAAATTGGTGGCTTTGACCTCAGCTTGCCTAATCTCTTTTTGAAAATCTTGGTAAAATGTCTTCCAAAAAATACTCCCTATTGGTCACATATCACCTTTTTAACACTTTGTCTCTCTGCATCAGCTACTTGATCTTCCCTATTGTCTCCCTCTCATGTATCACTCGTCGCACTCTGCTTCATCGTCTTCTTCACTTCTACACTCTCTCCAACTGAACCACCGAGGACAGACCACCCTTTTTCCTTCATTTGTTTTGGCTACTGAATGTTACTGATCATAAAAGAGGGAAGTTGGACTCTTTTTTTCATGATTTGGCTTTCTCTTTTATTAAGATTGAATTAATTTGCATTTTTTTACTAGTACTTCTTGTTTATTTCCCCCATCTGATTCGTGTATGGTTCTTGGAGGTGGCTGAAGATTCTCAAGGTGCTATAAGTGGGTAGGATACATTGCATGGGTTGGGAAATGTTTGTTGATGTTGCTTGCTTATAATAATTTTCAAGATAAACTTCTCAGAAAGTACAAGTAAATTTTTTGTCATATCTGGATGAAGAATTGTATATTGTCTCTGGTGCTTTTGGAAGATTATTGTTGTGAATTAATGACTAACTCACTGCCCTTAAAGATCTTGTTGTTGATGGACTTTAGACAAAGAACTCAATGATGGATGAGTCTTACACACACACACACACAGAAATTAACCAAGCACAAATGACACAAGTGTTTATAGAGGTTCAGCAAATTGCCTACATCCTCTTTGGTGATCACCTTGAGAAATTTCACTAATGAAGATAGGTTACAACTTTGGTTTACAAAAGGAAACCCCCTTAGAACACTACCCTCACAATCTGTTTCTATCACACCCTTGCTCAACACCTTGATACACTTTGAGAACTCTCTTTCTCTCCCCTTAGTTTTTCTGAACACACAACTAAAACTTCAGCTCAAACTCAACTTGGAATACCAGCTTCTTCCACTTACAATTATTCAACTTGTTTTCTCCTCTTGTGTTATCTTACTTCACCCCATTTCCTACACAAGCCA